CCAAATGGCTTGATTACTTGGAACTGAATCTCTGATCTGCTTCTTATAAAGCCTGTATTGAGAGGAGCTAATCAGTCCAGCATGGACATTGGTCTGTAGAAAGGAAAACAAAGGTTGAGTTACTTGAAAAAACTATATCAATAGTTTTAAAGGACATAAAAATCAATGAAGGGGTGTGACCACTTTGGAAGATGGTGAAAAAATATGTAAAAACTGAGATTAGAGCTTACGCTTTTAGTAGTGGTGGTTGAGCTAGGAAGCTGTTCAATATCCCCATTACCTATGTCCATAGAGGCGTCACTATTTTCTTTATTTGGGCACACTGAGGTTCTGTATTGTAGAATTTCAATAAACGTCTTAAAATTCATAAGCATTTTCTTTCTTTTTTAAAAAGAATTATTTATTTTAGTTTTATTTATTCATTCACTTATTTTAGTTAGACCAGAGAGAGACATAGCGAGAAAGAGGGAAAGTGAGAAAGCAAGGCACCAGGTCCAGGATTTGAACTGTCGTCAGCATCTGGGAGTGTCCAGCACCTTAACCACATGCCACCTGCTGGCCTCCATGATTATTTTCATGGAATAGAAATTAATAACTAAAAATAATAACACAAGTGAAACTGAGATTTCTCAATGCAAAGATTTCTAGGATTAAGATGTGAGATAAGAGGAGATGAATGTGTCGTGAGCTTCCTTAGGGATAATGTGAGTTTGGGGAAAAAAATGCAGTAAATGAGAAAAAATTAGACCTTGATAGTGCATAGCAAATTATCATAGCATGCCTCCTCACCATATGCTCATTCCATGGTAAATTCATGTTCCAAGATGAAATGAAAAGTTAAGATGCATGTTACTGGAGGTTCTGGAAGGAATAATAATAAAAGAAACCTGTATGATAAAAAAATCTTAAGCAACTACTCCCAACAAATATATATTTTTTGAAGTTTAATTATTACACACATTTACCTGCCTAATTAATTTGGAATGTTATTCTGCAAACATGTTGTATCTCTATAACTTAAAGTCCCTATACCTGCTTCTTTAGCTTATGTAAGATTTACTCACACAGTATTGTTTTACTGACGGGTTATGAACCCCTCGATTATTTGTTGTTGTTTTCTTTTGGCTATGAGAATCCAGGAGGCATGATGTAATGTTGCTATGGCAATGAATATGTGCAAATAGATGATGGGGGGGATGTTAAAATCTTGAGAAACACATTTGCATGCAAATTTTTTTTTGCAGTGAAATTATAAAAACTACGTAATTTTTTTTCTGTTATGTACAGAAATATGAAAGAAAGATTTGTTATATGACATCTTGAACAATGTATTTATATTTAAATAGCAGAAGCAGCTCCATATGTTCCAAAGAGTATTTTTTAAAATAAGTGTTCATTTAAAAAGACATTGCATTAAGACTAGATTAATTTCCAAAGGAGTGTGTGTGTGTGTGTGTGTGTGTGTGTGTGTGTGTATAAATAAAGCATAAACTGGGACACATTATAAGGACGAAGGTCTTTTTTTGGTTGCTGTGAAGGTGGCAATAAGAAGTCAAGCATATTAGAAAAACATTTGTAACTGCCTAAGAAAATGTTTTGTCAGTTACTGGGATTCAGATTTGAGGGTGGTTAGCACCTCACCTGAAAACTTTCATGGGACTGACACTGAGACATGCACAAGAGGACAGAAAATTGGCTTTAAAAGACCTGACTTAATTTACTCTCCCCCCAAAAATACTTAGATTTTTGACCTATTAGCCCTTTTTGTATGTGTCATAGAACTTTGCACAACAAATTCAAGGATCCTGGCCCACTGTGGTAGCACAAGCAGTAGGGCAGCACTGTGTGAGGCTGAGGCCACCTCGGAAATCCAGGTCCAGTTCTAGACCAATTTAGAATAAGCAGGGCATAGTGTTAACCTGGAGCAGGTGGGCTGCGACATGACAATATCCTGTCAAAAGTACCTATCTCTCACTGAAAAAGAAAAAAAAAGAAAAATGAAAGAAATGAAAAAGAATTCAAAGGATCCTGATTGGTCCTGATTTAATCACTGGCTTGACCATATCTTAACTGGCAAGGCACCTAACTATTGGGTTGTCAAAAAAGTTATGATGCATTTTTCTGTTTTTATATGCAAAATGCGTCACGACTTTTCTGAGAGCCCAGTATCTTTTTTTTAAAAAAAGCTTATTTATTCATTAGGAAAGGCAGAGACAGAGAGACTGGCATGCACAACAAGGTCCTCATGACATAATCTGCCCCAGCCTAGATCATGAACCTGCTCACATACACTTTCCATATACTGGGGAGCCCTGGTATGTGAATGGGGTGGGTGGGGGCTTCCCAATATCTTTCCAGCTTGTAGAAGATATTGTTGATGCTATTCAAGACAAAATAAAGGCCTGACATCAGTGTGAACCTGTGACTTAAGAATACTGGTACAATTCCCCCCATTTTTAAAATTTATTTTAATAATGTTTAAAGACAAGGTAATGATGGGACCAGCAGATGGCATAATAGTTATGTCATTGGACTCCCACATAGTTGACTGCGGTTCAAGTTTTGAACCTGTGACTTAAAATTCACTCTGAACATGTGTGACCAAAATCCTGAGAGGAGAATGGAAGAAAAGGGATTAAAACATGGCCATCTCATCTGGGGGGTGATTTTCCGTCTCTCTGTTTCTCCAGCAATCACGTACACTTTGTACCAAAAGTCTCTCTCTCTCTAAAAAAAGATAAGATAATGACCCTTGCCATCTGACAAGTATTCTTTAGACCAGAACTGTCCAATAGAGATAGTAATATGAGCTGTATATGTAATTTAAAATTTTCTAGTAGTCACATTAGAAGAAAAAGAGATAGATGAATGTGATTTTAATAATACATTTTATTTTATTCAATGTCTCAAATATTATCACTTCTATATGTAAGCAATATAAAATTACTAACAACATATTTTACATTCTTATTTTTGTACCAACACCTTGAAATCTAGGATGAGTTTTTTACTTTCAGTACATATCGATTTGGTGTAAACTCACTTGAACACATTTTAAGTGCTCAATATCGACTGGGCTGGTGGATGCTATATTGACAACTCACCATTAGACTAGCAGGAAAAGCATTGAGTTTGTTTGGGATATTGAAGTTACTTGGTATCAGAATTGGGGTATTACCTTGCTTTCATAGAAAAGTTCTTTCCAGCTTGTAGAAGATATTGTTGATGCTATTCAAGACAAAATAAAGGCCTGACATCAGTGTGAACCTGTGACTTAAGAATACTGTACCTCTAGTACCCCTTTTGATCCTGGTCATAGTTTTGAGAAATTCGGAGAACTTAAGTTCCATTTACTTAGAGGAAGCCAGCCTAGAAGGTACACTAATTCCTACCATCTCTCTAGATAGTACCTCCCAATCACATGATCCAATGGCAGATCACAATCTAGGGAAGTTACCAAATACTGAGCAAGCCAAGTCAGCCAAAATATGTGTCCCCGAATTTTCTTGCCTTTTTTTTTTTTTTAAAGAAAAGCATCTGTTTTGTGGGTGTCTGGAAGGGCTTAGACTTGTACCATATCCCCATTTTTTTTTGTTTGTTTGGATCCAGGATAAAATGAGAACAAAGTCTTTTTTTGTTCAGGAATGTTTTGATCCACAAAGTGGTGGTAGGAGAGAGACTCGGGATTGTCACTCTAGTGCTCCAAAGTCCAACAACCATCCGTTTCCTACACTGTGATCCGTTAGTAGAAAAGTCACTGATGTACATCATTTCACCAAAGATCGTTCGCAGACCTTGGGAAGGACATTCAAGTTATTTAGTGCTGACCTGGGTGAAGAAGCAAGTAATCACTTACTCTGAAGAATCAACTGGTAAGACTCCATCGTTTTTCAAGAAATGTCCTAAAGGCAGAAATAGCACCAGTATTGTATTCTTGGGTTTTGGTGTTAAAATAAATCCATTCACTGTAATGATCAGCTACAAACGTGAATTGAGTTTAAACTAATGTTTATTAGTTGATAATGTCGAACTTATATTTTTCAGTATATTCCCAGTCTACACGGGAAACACACCCATTTGAAAATAAGCCACTAGAGATCTAAACAATATGCAAACAAGTTTCTAATATATAACTTCAAATTACCCTTCCTCTCCTTTTTTTTAATTGCTAAAACTGTAGCTACGGAGATACCACCCATAAATCAGGTCCTTTACCTCTGAACCTTGATTACACATTGTAGGTGGCCACATCACCTGGCTCAGGAGGTCCAGCTTGGGCTGCCATTCATAGAGAAGGTGGTCCCTGGAAGGCATCAGATGAGAGAGGAAGTTGAAGCCAGACACAAGTTTTCAAGGCGTCAGACAACTGGTCATTCCCAGGGACGGACAGAGAGGGCGCCCTCCCGCAGGCGCGCGAACAGCCTGAACGCGGTGGCGGGACACTCAGGCAAGAGTACCCAGGCTTGGGGAGTGGGAGTGGGAGAGTTCTCATAGCGCCGTCTAGTTAGACTGAAGTGTCCGCTGGACAAGAAATGAATGTCGACAGAGCAACAAGATGGATGTGATGCAGGAGACTGCAGAGCAGCAGGAAGCAATTGTGGAGAGGTTTAAGCTTCCCTAAAGTCTCAGTGCGGCTTCTCCCGTCCGGGACCCGCTTTCGGAGTGTCAGTTTTGAGGATTCCTCTCTGCTCCCTGACCACCCCTCTTTTGTGGCCCCAGTTCCGGACGTACTCACCGCACCGCGATCGGATCGCTGTTGCCCGCCTGCCCGGTAGCACCCGGCCCGGCTACTGCGAGAGGGCGCAGCGGCCGGAGGCGCGGCAGGGGCGGGCTCTGGAGCCCCCCGCCCCCTCCAGCAGGGCCGCTGGGGCCAGTGGCAGGCGCGCCACGCACAGCC